TGGGATGAGGTATCATCAATATGCAGAAGATACCCAGTTATACATCTCCATCCCAGGTGATCTGAGTGATGCTGTGGCCACCCTTTTGGAGTGCCTGGAGGCTGTGGGGGTCTGGATGGGGAACAACAGGCTTCAACTGAACCCTGGTAAGGTGGAGTGGTTGTGGGTTGGAGGCTCCTCTGTATCTGAGAGTTTACCATCTTTGGTTCTCGATGGGGTTGCACTGCCCCAGACAGACCCAGTGTGTAATCTGGGGGTCCTCCTGGACTCACGACTCCTGCTCGAAAAGCAGGTGGCAGCCGTGGCCAGGAGGGCCTTTGCTCAACTTCATGTTGTGCAGCAGTTACGCCCCTTCCTGGATCAGGAGGCCCTCTGCACGGTCACTCACGCCCTGGTCATCGCTCGTTTAGACTATTGCAATGTGCTCTACATGGGGCTACCCTTGAAGAGTATCTGGAAGCTATGGCTGATTCAAAAGGTGGCTGCGCGGGCAACCTTGGGTGCCCCAAGGATGACACATGTAACACCTTTGCTTCAGGAGCTGCATTGGGTTCCAGTTTGCTTCCGAGTCCAATTCAAGGTGTTGGTTATCACCTTTAAAGCCCTACATGGCATGGGTCCAGGCTACCTGAGGGACCGTCTCACCCACATTACAATCAACCTGTCCCATCTGGTCTGGCAGAGAAGGCAAGTTGCGGATCCTGTCGGTGAGAGAATGTCCACTGGCAAGTCCCAAGAGTGAGATCATCCACCACCAGCCTCCTCTGCCATTGTCCCCATCCTATCGAATACTCTCCCCCCAGAGGTGAGGCGGGCCCCTACCCTTCCAATTTTCTGGAGGGAATTGAAGACCTGGCTCTGCCAACTTGCGTCAGATGAGTAGAGATACAACTGACCCTGGGAATGGCTAGTGCCTTGAAGACATTCCCCGAGTTTCTTAATACCTAATTAACATCAGCCTCTTGGAAGTATTATATAGGAGGTTTGTTACTGTAGTATATTTTAATTAATTAATTAATATTTATCTATTTTAACTAAAGTTTATTCTGTTTTTGCTGTAAACCACCCAGAGTCACACTATAGTGAGATGAGCAGTGACAAATCTGAAATATAAATAAATAAAATAAAATATTTACCCAGGTTTGGGAAGCATTGCCCTAGGATGTAGTCCATCTGGCTCTGGAGTCTTGGATTTGCTTAAGCTAGCTAAACGGTGCCTCCAGAAAATCAAAGGCCTAAAAATAGATGAAGATGAATTACGGTTTCATTCGATGTCACAGCATTCTTTATATCCATACACCCAGAACTAAGAATCCATGTCAGCAGTACTACACAACACACCTGACCTAACCAAATACACCAAGATCGA